TCAACTGCTAGCAGAGCATCTCACCCTCCCTGATTGAACTAACCTCGTTATCTCCATACTGATTTATACCTGTCTCTGGAGATTTCCATTACTTGAATCTGAAGAAGTGAGGTTCTTACCCATGAAAGCTTATGCTCCTAATACTTCTGTTAGTCTTAAAGGTGCCACAGGACCCTCTGTTGCTCCGAGCATGTGAGTTGTCCTGTTGAAGCCAGTGGCAGTGCTCCCCAGCTTGCAGTTCGGCGTGTGCTCCAGTACCTTGCTAACGGGCGAGGCACAGGACAAAGAGCCCCTCAGTGTCCCTGTCCCACCAAACGCCCTTCCCATAGGAGGGGAACCTGAAGCCAGGGCATAGCTTCTGGCGGCCCCCGGGCCGTGCTTCCCCCTCTCTCTGTGGCAGCAGCACTGACCATGGTGGCATTTCTGTTTTTCTCTCTGAAGGCCAGCACCTCAGCTTCCCTGCCGTGGCTCTCTGGGTGACTGTGGGACTCGCTATCTGCATCTTGGGGCTGCTGGGTGCCCTGGCTTACGTGTGCCGGAAGAAAATTCGCCAGAGCTGCAAGGAAGAGGAAGAGAATGCAGGTAAGGAGCCCAGAGCCTGGCGCTCCCTCTCGTGTGTGTGTGTGGTGGGGGAGGGGTGTGTGTGGAGGGATGTGAATTCTCAGTCTGTCTGCTCCGAGCCCAGAGGGCCCGTTTCAGGGTCGCACTTATGCATGGACTTGAGTCCCTCTGAATTCAATGGGCTCGGTGACTCCTCCGCTGGGGAGATGTGGACAGTTTCCGCTCCCCTTTGCCCCAGCATGCGTGAAGCACTTTGGGATCCTTTGGGGAAGAAAATGCTGGGCACCTGGCAGATCTGATGCCCATCTCCCTGGCTGTGACTTCCCTGCTGAGGGCAGTGTAGATGTTGCTGGCCTGGGAGGACCTGGTTATTCCAGATGTTATTGACTGGGTGGAGAAAACCTCCTGAACTATGGATTGCCACCACTGGCATGCACCTCCAAGGATGAACCCAGCTTCAGGGAGTTCGCCCTGCTCGGGGCAGCTGTAGGCGGTAGAGAATGCAGTATACACACAGTGCCTGGGGGAAACTTCACCATTCAAAGGCCTTTACCTGTGTCAGTGAAGGGTGAAAGGCTCTGCTGAATGGTGAGAAGCCCTGTATGCTTGAGAGGATTGAGGGGTGTTAATGTGGCTTGGAGCAGAGCTGCGGGGGGCTTTGCTAAGTGAGAGGCAGTAGAGGCAAAATTCTCCCACCCTGCTTGATGGATGGTCGTAAGCGGCCAGCTCCACTATCCCCAGGCCTGTGACATGGCCAATGGGGAGGTACCAACAGCTACATGTGCATGTGCATGCGTGTTTCACTGCTGCCTGATCTCAGCAAGCCTCTGTCCAGGAACGTACCCCAAGGGCTCTCACTGCCCTCTGGGCGGGCAGGAGGTTTGCAGACAGCTTCCGGCAGGAGCCTGGGTTAGAGTGAATTTAGTGAACTTAACTGTGAGCAATATGGGGTGTGAGGGTGGGAAGAACCTGTTTTGTGCAGGCTGGTGCTGCTCAAACTCGCACAGTGCACCTCCTGCCTGAGCCCTAGAAACCCACCCTCTCTGCCCTGGCCTGCACACCCCCTGCTATTCCAGTGCTGGGGCCAGCGCATCATAGCCCTGGCCCCTCTGTGCCAGTCCGCTCAGCTGCGGCTGAAGGTTGGGGTGCGCTGGCGGAGTTGGGTGTGGGAAGGTTGCCAAAGCACTGGCCTGCCTTGTACCTGACTCCATGGAGAGTTAATGGCATATTGAGCTCCTGTGTGCCACCAGCACCCCCTAACTCATTTGAAATAGCCTATGGCATGTGCTCTGCTTTCCTTACCCCCCCACAGGAGGGGCTAGTCTCCCCCTCTGGGGGACCCAGCTGTGCCAGAGGGGTGCAGCCTCCCAACTCCAGTCCTGATTGCTTTTGAAGTGTCTGTCTTCCTCCACTGGCACTGATTGCCTTTGCAATCACCATCGCCTCACAGTGGGGGAAGGAAACAATTGCAGATGAGCCGCATTCTGCCGGATCAACCTTCTGCTGGGCTGCACACCACCTGGGGGCAAGGGGTAAGAATGAGGCAGGCCAGTCCAACCACCCTGTGCTATCAATCATCGGGAGGTGATGAAAGATCAAGGAGCCCAGGTGTACGTGGGGATGGTTGTGGTGCCCGGTTTGTGTTGCAGGGGGTTGTTTGGTAGCCCTAGCCAATGTGTTGCCTGTGCTGATATTGCAGTACCATGGGAGGGAGGCCCATAATACAGGAATGGGCCTGCCCACAACACTCTGTGCCTTGTGTGTATCTGCTGCTCTCCGGATATGTGACTGCAGCATGTGTAGGGATACCCAAGCAAGCTTTGATCAAAGCTCAGGGTCCTGCAGGGGCAGGGCTAATTCCAGCTGCCACAGCTTCACTGCTGGATCAAAGCCAGCTTGGGTCTGTCTACGTGCGCTGCAATCACACATTTTGATTGCTGTCTAGACATGCCCATTGAATGGCCAGGTGCAGTGCCCCCATGTGGCCGAGAAGAGAGAGGGCTCATTTGTACTGCTATTGAATTCAGGCTGCTGGACCCAGACAGGATCCTGTGGTTTGCAAAAGGGAGTGCTGGGGACTGCAGCACAGCAGGGGACTGAAACACCCGAGAATCCTGCCAGGCCTCCAGGGCACTAGGAGAGCAGGATGCTTACCTGGCGCAGACCCCTGCCTTCTCGCAGTCAGGGACTGCATTGTGAGAGGGCCCCAGGCTTGCTGCCCTCTGTGTGGCCCAGACACAAGGCAATTGAATATGAAGTCTCCTGGCACTGACGAATGGCCCTTTCAATCAATAGCAATGGAGATGTTGCCAAGGTGCGGAGAAGTCTCAGGGTGAGCCCCTCTGCATGGCTCTCTGGCTTCCAAAAATGGCACCAAGCCTCGGAAGTTAACACAGCCAGAATTTCCCTGGAAAGTAGCAGTGCTGGAGGGCTGCCATGTTTGAGTGGCTGCATCCCTACAGACCCCTGACTTGTTAGCGCAGCCACATGCATGCAGCATAGCAGACAGAACCCAGCACACTGGAGTGAAAACAGCTGCTGGCACTAGCAATAGGGCTTTTAGCTTCTTTAGGCCTCCAACCACTAGAGGGCAGTGGTAAATACACATACACTAACCAGCACTTTCAATAGCGGGTTTACCTACAACCCATGCTGCCTGCTGCACCCAGGCACCTGCTACATTGAATGGGACAGATGTGAGGAGAGTGCAGGTTTGTGTTAGGCAAAGTACTGCTATGGGAGGGAAGTGGAGTGGAGGAACTGGTTTAATATTACATATGATACTGACTTCTAGTCCCAATGCCAGCTGGGTTATGGATAAATTCACAGCCTGTCGCAAAAAGGAGAGAGAGGAAAAAAAGAAACCAGGGATGGGAGGGGGGGAATTGCCCATCAATAAAATCTGTGAAAATGTTTAAATGTCAGTAAAAATTGGCAAAATAATATAAGAATTCTTACCCCACCTTCTTAATCCTTTGCCATGAACTTAGCAGAGAACTAAATAAAGGCACAGAGAGTGGAAGCAAGGAGTGAGTTTCCCATGCTCCAGCACTGATTCCCTGCTCTAAATGGACCAGGGAAAATCACCCAGCAGTGATGGATTCTGTAAATGACACACTGGGTTCTTTAGAATGGGAGTTCAGGCTCTTGGGTGCTGGGCTCTGCACTTACTTGAGGTGAGCCTTAGGGAGGCAGTGTGGCCTAGTGGATGGAGCACAGGACTAGGAAGACCTGGGTTCAGTTCGTACCTGTTACTGGTTAGTTGGGTGATCTTGAGCCAGTCACTTCACTTCCCCAGGCCTCAGTTTCCCCATCTGTAAAATGGAGATAATGATACTTCTTTGTAAAGTGCTACATGTAGAAAGTGTTTCCAGCTGTGAAATGGGGAAATGTGAAAAGTCCACACCTCCCAGCAGGGTTGGGAGGCATAACTCATTCCAGGGTTTTGAGATCCCTGGATGAAAGATGCTGGAAAAGGGGCAAACTAGTATTCCCACCTCTACCAGAAGGCTGAATTAAAATGACTGAGAGGCAGGTTTCTGGGTTATATGGCTGGTTTTTCAGTCAAGACACATTTAGTGGTACTATATTTGTGGGGGCGGCTGGGTGAAAGCTTGCAATGCTGCTACTACAAAATGGGACCAAAGAAATTGGACTACAGGATTTAATCCCTTTTACTGCGATGCCCCAGTTAGCCCAAACTGGGTTCCTACGCTCTGGGGTCGTAATAGATGCACCAGGTATCTCTCCCCTCCCCAGTCATGTTGCATTCCCAGAGGTTGGACGCACCCCATGCTGAGGAGGGATCCTGTGTTGTCCACACGTGTCTGCCTAACCCCAGCTATGGGGCAAGGACCCAGTTAGCAGCAGCAGTCTATCCCCTTGGATGCCTTGGGATGGATGCGCCTGCTGCAAACATTATGCATCTTCTCCCTGGGGAGCAAACTGAGATGATCTGCCGGGGGGGGGGGAGTCTTTGTTGTTGAGGTTTGCAGCTGACATTTTGGAAGCAACGAGGCAGCCAAGAGGCAGATGCTCAGAACCTGCCTCTCAATCTGGTCTGACATTTCCCTTCCCAAGCCACTCCTCACCCCACCCCCGATGGAGGAGATGCGACTTGCAAAGTGACAGTTGTCCAAGTGCAAACACACACAGGATAGTACACACACAGGATAGTTCGCACATGCGGGTGTTTCCTTTCTGCACCCCTCCCCCTTCTCATCTGAGAAGACATCACTAGCATTTGCCACCATAGACTCATAGACTTTAAGGTCAGAAGGGACCATTATGATCATCTGGTCTGACCCCCTGCACGCTGCAGGCCATAAAACCATCCCCGCCCCTTCCCTGGACTCTGCT